TTAACAAACATCAATTCTCAAAGGGAATAAAAATGTCAAGAGATGAAAGAAGTTCTGCCATCATATCTCTGAGATCCCCATGTTCCTTAAAAAACTTTAACTTGTTTTAATGGCCAACTCCAGAGAAACTACTAGCAGATCAGTCAGCAGCTATTTGCTGGAGCAAACAGATGATGGTCCCTTTTGCTTTCAGTGTTTTTATCTCTGTTTTCTAGTTAACCTGTATTTTATCATGTACCATACACCTTATTAGAGTATTAGTGACATTTACAAACAGCTCTATGAGCAAAACAATTAGAAGGTACAGACTATCCATAAAATCCTCTTTATATAGGTTTTTAATCTGAAAAGCAGTAAAATCAAATATAAGCAAGCACAGAAAAAAGGAACTCTCATAAAATACTATGTATTAGACTATATAAAAATGCAAATGTCTGTAAATTTGTATCTGTGCTTATTGCTACTTTTTTTTACATATCTGTTTTATCTTTACCAAAGCTGATCACACAAGTTATCATTATATTCTCTATGGCTGAGGGAGGCAAACCACATGGCTGACATGACTTCAACAGTGCTTTTGCATCATTAGGAAATGGAGACCTCACAGTTACAACTTCGACTTAAGCATCCAGGGAAACATAATGGTATAGATGCTCCGTTGATCACCTGGAAAATGTGCATGAAGAGAAAATCTGGCACCTGTCCCATGAAAGTAGACAATTACGCTTGGGTGGCAAAATAACCTCTTCATCTTAGCACATTATTGTGATACTGTGCTTCCCCAATAGACTAGAGGAAGATTTGAGCATGTTTACAAATGCATGTTTTCCAAGTTGCTACTTTTTTCCAAGACATATGTTTGGGTCTTCACTCAGCCAGTTGGTTTAACAGGATTCCTTTTATCCTGAAATCGCTTTATAATAGAAACAGAAACCTGAGTGCTGTTAGACAAGGCTTTATTTTTTTACAAACCTAGGCTATTTTGCAAAATATGTCCAAGTTATATAGATCCAACAAATGATGTGGTTTGAGCGAACAAAAAACTAGAAAAGCTACCAAAGAAATATATACTTGTCTTGAAAATGGCATAAATTAGTTTAAATAGGTACTGTTTTAAAATTGATGTAATATTGCATGCGTAAGTTGCACTTCTCATGTCAAGTTTTCTTAAGCCAGAACCACATAACCACACAGAAACAGAAGCACAGCAATGCATTACTGCTGTACTTACCGGTTTCTAATGTCAGCATCATATTTTCTCCTTCACACACATAAAATAGGGCCGTATGGGATACTAATCTCTCCACATTCTGTTCTCCAGACACTACTAAATGTAATGACAAATCTCTCCTATAAAACAATGGAGTAGAGTAACTGCTATCCACTTTAAAGAGGCAGTTCTGATCCCTGGGCCCTATAATGTAACTTGTCACTGAGCATATTTACAGTGTATATGCTGCACACAGACATAGCAAAAGACAAGTTCACCCATCTTGACTCCATAAACAACATACAGCTTATTCTACGCCACAAACTCCAGACCAAGGACATGTGTTTGTTGTGTATTTTCAGTGTTTAGCTGGCCACCAAATGATCAGCAAGATCTTCACCAGTTCCCCATGTGAATAGCAGTTTACATTACTATTAAAAGTGGCTCAAGAGCTCATGCAACTCTCAGAGCTTATCCACAGTGATGGCTTCATCATGAGAGAGAATGATGTTTATTCTAAGGCAGGTGTAAAAGATAAGGAGAGCAAGATAGGGAGGGAATAAAAGAAGCTACTAGGGGGAAAATAAAGAAAAAGTAAAGCAGTGTGGCCAGGAGAGA